AAGGATTCTGAAGCTTCGTCTGACATACTTTGGGCATGTTGCAAGGAGGGACTGGTCCTTGGAGAGGGACATCATGTTTGGGAGAGTGGAGGGGAGGTGCAGGAGAGGAAGATCTTTGATGAGATGGATCGATTCTGTGACTGGAGCGGTGGGAATAAGTGCGTTTGAGATGGCTAGGTTGGCATAGGATAGAACAGCGTTTAGAGTTCTTGTACATAGGGTTGCTATGAGTCGCAAACGACTCGATGGCACATAACAACAACAACAGCTATGCTGCTGAAAATTGGACAAAGGCTAAGGATGACAGAAGAAGAATTGATGCCTTTGAACTGTGGTGCTTGAGAAGAGTACTGAATATCCCATGGACTGCCAGAAGAACAAACAGATATATCTCAGAGAAGGTGCAGCCATAGTGCTCCTTGGAGGCAAAGATGATAAAGCTTTTGCTTCACAAACTTTTAGGCGTGTTGGTAACAGCATGTTGGCTATTCCTTGGAGAAGGACATCATGCTTGGAAAGGTGGAGGGATGGCAAAAAAGAGGAAGACTCTCAACCAGGTAGTTTGACATAGTGACTGTAGCAGTAGATCTGAGTGTGTCAGAGATTGCGAAGAAGGCACAGGGTAGGACAGGGCCAGATCTGTTCTTCATAGAGTTACTATATACTCAACTGAATGGCACCTAACAACAACAGCAACAATAGAAGACAAACATCTCAACTTAAAACTGGATAAAGGATCTAAATAAACAGATACTGTGGAAAATAATTTGGCAGTTCCTGAAAAAGTTACCATATAAAACAGCAATTAAACTCCTAAGTATATAGTTAAGAGAAATAAAAGCAGCTACTCACATAAAGCCGTATAAACGATCTTAACAGTAATAATAACAATAGCCTAAAACTAGACACTTGAAAAATGTCCAGCTGATGAACAGATAAATCAAATGTGATGAATCCACATCATAGAATACTACTAATCAATAAATAAGTGATGTTATTAGAATAATATAGATAAGCCTAAAAAATATAGGTAAAGGAAGCCAGACACATAACACTATCTGATTCCATTTATATGAAGTTTCTAGAATAACAAAACTATAGAGACAGATCAGTGTTTGCCTGGAGCTGGGTTAGGAGTGAT